TTAGTATAAATGTATTCAAGTGCTTTTTACATAAATCTGAAATGTCTAAACCTATCAATGTAAAATTATAGTAACACATTTGTAGATATAACTAATTAGTCAATTTGCTGCATCTCATTTTCTTATTTAATAATCTTTTTTTGCGTTTGTTTAACACCTAATTGAAGCTCTATCACCGCGATTGTGAATGATGTGTATAGTTTTAATTGGACTTCAGATTTGAAATTATACGTTGTTACTTATTACTGCGTGAGGCTTGATCTGTTGTCTGTAACTGTACCAATTAAGTAAAAATAAAATAAAATAGTGAATTCATTTATCAATAAAAGTGAAAACTTGCCCTCAATAAGCATAATTATGAAGTAGGACTCACCCCTAGCACGTAACATTTATCATAGACACACAAAACAACATGAGCATAAACGCAAATACACTATCATAAAAATAATTTCACACAACACTCGTATTCGTCCTAAGTGAGAATCGAACCCACGACCTCCGGCTTCACAGTCATTTATTACATTTATCTGAACACTTTAAGGTTTGGTTAAATAGTTATTTATTACTTCTTAACACTACTCAAGTCATTCACGGCACTTATGATATTTACATTTTAGTGTTGAGTGTTGTGGGTCGCTCCAGAACGTTCGTATAGTACCTACGTTAAGTTAATTGGTCCATGGCCTCCTTACAGCCTGCGCGTTCACGTGTTATTGTTGAAATTCCATATTTATTTTTAATGAAGTAAATTCAAACCGTATATAAATAGTATAGTGTTGTGTATGGACAGTTTATTGTGTCGCGTTGTGTATATTGTGTGTCTCTTGTTTGTACTCCTTCTGTCTTTTAAATAGTATATCGTGTTGTGTACAGACCATAAAACTATAACAGTAAGACATTGACTTTTATTTATATTCACCCGTAAGTACATATACTGCTCCACGTAACTATAATATCACATACGGCAAACCCCCCCTCTGGGTTGGAGGGACATGACACACATTCCTCCACAGCCTTATAGCCCACTGCTGGACATAGGCCTCTCCTTAGAAAGGATGTTTTGGCCTACTATACCACGCTGGCCAGATAGGTTATATATCAAGTTTTCTTTCTCATTGCAGTGCTGTTGTCCTACGTAGTTGGCTCCATTAGTCGGCTCTTAGGACATCCACGGGATGAATAGGGTTGGTGACACTCCTCGATCACACGGATAAGCATAATAACAGATCAGATACGCCATACAACATGGTGGCGCGGCTTTTTTTATGGTATAGGGGGGGGGGGGGGGGGGGGCACACAAGCAGACGGTTCACCTGATGGTAAGTGACTACCGCCACCCCTAGACACCAACTCAAGAGTCATAAGGGCATTGCCACCTTTGTGGTGGGAGAACGCCTTGTTCTTTGTTTTCAAGATCGTATCAGTCCGGATAATAGATGGTAGAGAATGCCTAGGGCATTAAGTCCGTTTACCAGGTATTTCCTTTCTAGGGTACACCTGGTTACCCGGCAACTGGTATCCGAGACGGCGTGCGGTTTCTGATCTGTTCATGACCAACTATCCCGGTGGGTCCAACTACCCGAGGGGATTTCCGCACAGAACAAAAAGGGCATTCATTCCGCCGATGTACACAAGTACATAAAGTTGTAAATAAGATAAATTAGAAAATTCCTCGTCTTAACAATTATTTTCTAATATACATATACTTTATAGTTATTATAACAGTCTAGACCTCCTTTTTTTTTTTTCCCGTGCTTAAGTCCCCTCGGATACCACCTATCGGTGGCATGTCGGACTCGAACCGACTAAAACCGCACGCCGTCTCGGGTACTAATAGCCGGGGAACCAGGTATACCCTAGAAAGGAAGTCCCTGGTGCCCAGTCTATACCACCTGTTTTAATAGCGCGCGTTATAATCAATTCACCTACTTAAATTCTGTTCGAACATTCTAAAAGATCAACCACCTTATCAGGGCTGGTGTCACGCACAGCTGTCGCCCTCAGTAATGCTGAAAGACTAATAAATAATGGGTAATAACATTTCCAATAAATAAAACCAACATAATATGTTATCGTTTAATCTAGCGATAAGTTTTCAACATGAGTAACAATACACATGATTGCGAACTTTGTAACGAACTATAAACAATATTAATACAAATTACCCTATAAAGTTAGCCAGCCTTTTTTTAATGAAACCGGGGTCACCTGAGAGAAAGCGGCTACCGCCGCCCATGAACGCCTCAATATAATTATATTATCTTTAAACATTATAAAACTATCTACGTTATTTAAAAAAAAAAAAAACAAAAAGTATCTGGAAACCTAGTGTGAGACTCCGACTTGTATAATATTTGTATAATATGTATAATAAGAGAAGGAAAACTTGAAACAAACCCTATACCAACCCGTCTGGCCAGCGTGGTATAGTAGGCCAAAACCTCCTTTCTAAGGAGAGGCCTATGTCCAGCAGTGGACTAGTATAGGCTGTTGATGATGTATAATATTTGAAAAGATTTACTTGCAGAAATAAACATCATTTCATTTTATTCCACTAGTTCAGTTAACTAAAGTCATTAGAATAAGTTCCTCAAATTCCAATGAATTCAATCAATTGGACTAAAGGATAGCCTTTTTTTCCCACTAGTACAATTGACTAATCTTAACTAATCTATAAGATTCTTTTGATACTTCAGATAACTAACCTTTATATATTATTTTCCGTTAAGCTGACTGAACCATTGGATTATTCTTCCCAGAAATTTAAAAGATTACATTCTAAAAGGTATTTCCAGAAGGCTAATTCTTGTAATAAAAATTCTTTCTGAGCTATTCTCGATTTCACAAATATCATAAACTGTATGTCTCGTATGGCTGTACAGCGTTTGGTTTTAGAGGTTTAACTGTCTTACAATCACCTTACATAGCCGTAAAATACATAATAACAACTCAAATCTTAGAAAGGCTGACTAAATAAAACAACAAATAAGTAAAAATGTCAAAAATATGGCATCAATGTTAATACTAGATATTTGAATATAATTGGCGGGATATTTGTCTGATATCAATCATTATAATTTGACACTATTAGATAACACGGTCTACGCGATTCAAATCGGTTTCACTTTTCATTACATTATTGAATTGAAGACTTTTGTTATGTAAAATCTATATTTTCTTATTGAGTATAATATGTTGGAATCGCTCACATATCACGAATTTTCTATATTAGTAATATTAACTCTGCCGTGCCAATCCAAAAGACTATAACTTGACTTACAGTGTTTTGCCTTAACAACGCTCAAACTGTTTCTTTACGTCGGTTTAGTACCCCTGATCAACTCTTTTGTTATTCTAAAGTGTATTTTAGAAGACACAATAATCTAAAAAATACTGTATTGTATTGAAATTAGGGTTTGAACATGGTAAAAAACTGTAACAAAGCTTTCAAGGTCAAAAGTCGTTTTCAAAAGTTACAGTGTTTTGGATTGAAACAACCTTTAGTTTACAACTTTATTTTCATGATTACTTTCTGTAACTTAAAAATAAGTTGTCTTATTTATAAGCACTAGTTTATACCCAAAGGTCGAATAATTGGAAAACAATTTTTCAAAGATAACATCAAAAATTTTCCACAATTTTCTAACCGAATTCAAAAAAGAACAGATTGTCAATTCGACTGTTCTTATATTTGTACTTCTTTTTTATTTGTAAAGGTTTAGTCCCATTCAAATTTGAAGAAAATATTCCAACCAAAGGGATATAAATTAAAATATACCTACAGGTTATTGCAATTTGTCATCACGTTTTAGTCGGTGATATTCTTTTCATTATTTCAATACTTTCGTAACTCTTGTGGTCAGGGTTGGATATCTTTGCCTTATGAGATGGTCTTTGGAAGTGCAAAACCGCGAGTTACGAGAATTGTTATTTTAAAAGTAGCTGAACTTGGTTTAAAAAGGTTTTGCCTTCATTTTAGTTAAGTAATATCTATCAGACGATATCTAACTATCTTTTGCTTACGGTTAGTTCAACCACTGACCTTGGCCAAGTCGATGCCTACAAGTAGGCCTAGCCGGGTCTCTGTTAATATTTCGCAATTTATAAATTAAGACGTGGTGTTATTTTCTTTTACGAAGCGAATAGATAATAATAAAAATTATTTATTAGTATTTACATGGTATACAATGTTAGTATGTTGAAACTTCTTAATCAAGCCAAGTTAAAAAATTAATCGCTCGCCTCTCGAGTTGGGTGTGTCGAAAACAGTGTGTATACCTTTTTGTAAAATATTTATCATTCAATGTTCTGTTCATCAGAGTATAATGAAAGGAATCGGTGTAAACCCAACATAGGGCTCCAATTTTAGTATTTAAGATCTAAAGTTTGCTTAACTTGTTTGTGATTTATTGTTTTCATACAACGTGCGGAGAGTGTTATCTTAGAAAAGCTTGATACCAAACTTGAGATCAGGTGCTTGTAGAATTAAATGCCAGTACAACTGATGAGCCCGCTCCTAACACAATCATTTAGCTTTTATTCCTAGCGGTAACAAAAATAGAGTACTGTGTAACCTACAGCCTTAGTATTTTATAGAATTGCATAAAATCATTTTGCAATTTGTCTCCAGGATCCAATTGCTTTTTTTTTCTGATAAAGAAAGAAAAACAATTCAATAAAGTGTCTTGAACGAGATGCTTGAAAATGGAGGGAACTAACAATACACGCTAGTCGGCCATTTTACAGATGGAATATACTATTCCTCAACTCAGACAAGATTAAAAGTCCTAGTGTTAGTATTTACTACTTTACAGTTAACTATAATTTGATAGTATGTAGAATAGCGCCATCTAGTTTCAATCTAGTGTCACTTCATAGCGTGTAACAACCTCGTGACACTGCAGGTTATTCTGAGTAACTTATGTATTTAAATAATTGATAAACTCTGAATTGCCAACGAAGGCGGTGTAACCTGTACCATAAACAATTATAACTAATAACTAATCAATGTTTCTAAGTTTCATTTGTAACTCAAACCTTCTGTTAGTTCTAACTCCTTTTATGAATGTTCTGTTCTCACTTCTGTTTACCTTTCTCTTCTCCACAAAGCTCTTTTCTCTCATCACTGTCTGCTTCGCTGCTTCTCTTCTGTCTGAAGGTTCACGTAGCTTCGAGGTGGCTCCTGTCAAAGACGGTTTTGGTGCTGTACCGCTCAGCTTGTCCTTTGGTTTGTCAGTTTTGGGTGGTATACTGAATGGGTTGACGTCTAAGTTCAACCTAAAGCCAAATCTAGTGAAACCAGGCTTTATCGACTCGAAAGTCAGTGGTTTCTTTGATGAAATTTCCGTTTTGTCTTTAGGTTTAGTGGTTTCTTTTGTGGTTGGTTTCTCAGAGTCAGCATTATCTGTAAATTAAAAAGTTTTATTTTATACTTTGGTTTTGAAATAATAGAGTTCACATCATCACATCAACAGCCTGTTATAGTCCACTGCTGAACATAGACCTCTCCTTAGAAAGGAGGTTAGGTTTTCAAACTGATAGGTTTTCAAACAGGTAAGTTTAAATATAGTGTCAGCACTTACTATCGTTACAATATTTTATTACACTTTATAATCCTTGCGAATACAAAGCGTTATCAGCATGATAACATTATTGAGAAGGTGATGACGTTACGAGACAACAAACACTTTTAATATTTACAAGTCTTAGTAATATTTTCATCATCATCATCATTGAATGAACCGTTCATGGTTTTTACTTCTTAATGCTAACATAGGCTAAGTTTAAATGTACTACTAACAATTAATATGAGTCGTTACTCGAAATATATTATATTCTTGTATTTCCTTTTGTTTTTATGACGTAGGATGACAAACGAGAGGACGGGCCACCTTAAGTGCAGGCCGGGGTGGCGGCGAGCGCGTTGCGAAGCGCGCTCGCCTCCAGGGAGCACAGGGAACATGGGGTTCCCACACGGGGGGGGGGGGTCGTCTACTCGTCTGTAGATGACCCGAGGTATGTCGGGGCACCGGGGACTTCCTTTCTAGGGTATACCTGGTTCCCCGGCTATTAGTACCCGAGACGGCGTGCTGTTTTAGTCGGTTCGAGTCCGACATGCCACCGACAGGTGGTATCCGAGGGGATTCTAAAAAAAAAAAGGGTCACCTTAAGTGACTACCGCCGCCCATGGACACCTAGTACTCAGTCAAAACGCGTGAGTTAGAAGCAACCCTAACCAACGTCGGAAAAAATTTAATGATACTATATTATGATGCTTCTGGAAGGAGCTTGGTTGGCTCACCTAGCTAATCAATCATCGACGCATAAAGGACCACTTTTGAGTCTAAATGCGGAAACCGAAGCCCAATACCATACTATATTATGATTTTGGCGTCCCCATAAACGCTCCATAAATGTTTTCGCTGGCACGTTTTGAAAGGATGATAATACTAACTAGATAATATGTTGATAAAAACTTTCGTCAGTTCGGCAGGTAATCACGTAGGGCATGCAGGGTTATCAAAAGAATATCGTAAAACGACTGGGTTGAAAACTTTTTCTAAACACGTATTCTAGATTTATACTTGGGTTGATGCCAATATGCCTGTACCCATTACGAGTTTCTCTATCCGATGCTGTTGACAAATCATAAATAGGCCTAGTTCTAACCTAGAGGATAGGAAACCGCTTTATATTTAGATAGAGACAGAGTCGTGCAGTGTGTAACAATGAAAACTTGAAACCATCTAGAAGAACATCAAGTAGAGGGAAGTGAAGGCGAACATGACGCGATACAGTACCAATGTTACTGCGGCGAATCAAATATATAGCGCCATAGGATTAAATGGTTCTTGTATTGTGTAGCTAGTTCATGAACAGTCAGTCGTGTGGAAGCCGGAAGACAGCGCCATCTACTATCAAGTGATGCACAACGACCACTACGCGTTGTAATATTGATTTATAATTCCGATACATGTTGCGCCATCTAGTTTCGAATATCGGCAGATAATAGCTCATAGAAATCTGTAGATTCTTTAATATACGTGGGTCTGTCTAGAAAGTGCTATCGGATCTTCGGGATTACTCTAGCAATTTTGGTGGCCCTATATAAGCGAAGCATGTTGACCGTACGACACAGTATTGTTTTACGAGACAGCGGATTAACATCGAAGCGAATTTCTAGTGCGACTAACGAGTTTTGTAGTGATTTCTTGTTTGTAAACTGCCAACTACTTTTATTTATTGAATACCCGGCTCATAGCAATATAATAACAAGTGCGAACATCGGGGTAATCTAAGGAACTATGGGTTCGTATTGAATAAATCTTTTAGTGTGGGATAGCCCTTTTATCCAGGAAGGGTATATATCATCACGCTACGACCAATAGCAGCCGAGTATCAATGAAAAATGCAAAATTTATTCCTTTTAAGATAAGCGGACAAACTCGGGCGGGTCAGCTAGTTCTTTATAAAGAATAACTACTATTTATGATGAGAGCAAAGAGTTAAAAGTTACTGTTTATTGTAGACTACTGACAACACACCCTGTTTTTCTAATTCCTGGGGGGTTTGTATCCTGTGTCGGGCAATAAAATCCAAAAAGCAACTCACGGTTATGAAATAGGCGTTCCGAAATTACAATATCACGAAAAGAGGGTGGAATGATCACTACACAAATATGAAGAAAAACTATTTTTGGAGTTGATAAAATAGTGGCAACCCTACAGATACGTAATCAAAAGACACGTTTTCAAGTATACCGTGATAAGATAGACACAGGACAGATTACAGGGAGTCCATGTTAGAGTTACTAACTTCTACGAGGAACGCGTGAATATTTATGATAATACTGATATAGGTTTATAGTTGTGTGATAATTAATTGTCCGTGTGGTGACGGATACGTAGTGTCACCACCCATATTAATTCCGTGGGTATCGCAAGAGCAAAATTACGCAGGAAAACAGCACTGCAAAGAGAAGGAAAACTTGACACAAACCCTATACCAAACCGTCTGGCCAGACTGGGATAGTAGATCAAAACTTAATTTCTAAGGAGAGGCCTATGTCCAGCAGTGGACTATTAAAGGCTGTTGATGTGATAGTGAACTTGTTCGTTGCGAGCTACAATACGCTGGCCTTTGGGCATGTCAAAAATGTTGGAGCCCTCACCTATCTCTTCTTTCATTTCCAATTCTTTCATTTCAATTCACCAACAGAAATGCTCATTCAACTTCTGTTCTTCAGCAGCTACTTTCACAGTTTCAAGAAGAACGAAATAACTACTTACTTTTGGGACTGATCTTCTCCAATGTGATCTTCAGTGCGGAGGGTGTGAGCATCTGCTTGGCCCTCTTCGCCTTCCTCTCCTGGCACTCTCCAAGCGACTCCATCTTCTCGAACTGTTTCTGGTGGAGTATCGCGAAGTTTGGCAGACGAGTCCTCGCGGGTTTCGTCTCCGATTTAGACTTGTATGGGGTATTGGACTTCTTTGGTGTAGTCTCACCCAATTTGGCTGTATGGTGAGAAAAAAATTAGGATTATTAGACAGTATTTTATTACTAAGCTGTAAAACATTTAACCTATGATTAAATTGTAAAATTATATTGACATCATAAATTAAAACCCATTGTAATTGTTAATTAGTTTTGTTTCATATTTAAAAAACCGTGTAATGTTCAAGCTTAAAACGGGCACATAAATTTAGATAAATTACAGACAGTACAAATAATAGTTCTCAGCACACAATTTTTGTCCTGGATGGGCATCAAACCCACAACCTCTGGCTTTCCCTCTGTGTTTAAGTTCAGCCTAGTTTTAGATCAGATGGTCGTGTGTTGGGTGTCTTCCTCCGAGCCTTTAGCCAAACTAGATTGTTGTCGGCTTAAGTCTACTACGATATGAAGAGACCGCTATCAGACCTCCACAACCCAAGTAACTAGGCGATATCGAAGTTCTGTAGAGAGACGATTGCCACAGATGTTTCTTATGGCTTAACATGGTCTCGGAGGCACGGAGGGGTCTCAATAAGTTAATGATGGTCACCCATCCATAGACTGGACTGGTTAGGTTCGCTTAACTTTGCAATGTGTTAACCTAACTTTTAAATATAATACCCTAAATAAGAAATCGCGTTAATTCCCGTTAAATAATATTAATTATGTGTTAACCTGTTCTGTTAGCGCTTTGCCACGAACCCCTTATTAAGTTATTATTAGAACGTAGTTCCTTATCGCGCGTTAAACGCTCTGAGCGGAAGAGAGTTAGACCGAAAAATGTGTAACAAGACTTTTTTCCGACACTATAGCAAACGTCTGTGGCAACATTGTTGCACATCACTATGATTGAAATACGTAGCATCATGATAGTGCAACACTATTGCCTGTCAGTCTCTCGTGTCTATGACATTCATTCTTTTAGCTTGCTACAAAATGGCTACTGTAACAATTGGTGATTATATATAAAAGTTAAATATAAATCTTATTTCTGTGAGACACATACGGCAGTTTTATTGACAACAACACGTAAAATAAACTGGTGTACTGGCCACCGTGATTCCGGGCCTTACGCCACTAAACGTCTACCAAAAAGCGAAAGGAATTTTGTTCCAACCGGAGGTCCATAGACCTCACGGCGTTTTTATTATTATAATTGGATAGGATGCAAAATATTTGATATCCACTATACGGGTACTTACTACCTACAGAAAAATTGGAAATAAATTACAAGGGAAAAGCAAGCAAGAAGAAATGGGAATGGAAAGAATAATGCTTTGACGAATCAGGAACGGATTGGGTAATATATACATTAGTTAAATAGATAGTGTATGTAACTAGCGCCGAATCACACATTACAAATTAACTTACAAAAAGCAGTCCTTAACACATGCCGTCTCACACGCAAATTTCTCGCTTCATCCTCATCATCTTAACTTCATACCATCATCCCTTTTTGGCACACTTGGCTAAGGCCCGTGTGTTAGATTTTGTTACCCCTTTCAAATAAAAGGGAGACCAGACAAGGTATAAAATGACATAATAATAATAATATTGTACCACAATCACACAACGCCGTCTAGTCCCAAACTAAGCAGAGCTTGTACTATGGGTACTAGACAACTGATATAATACATAAATACTTTTTTTTTGTTTTTGTAAATACATACATATAATACATAGAAACACCCAGACCAAATCAAACATTAAATGTTCATGTACACAAATGTTTGACAATCTATACAAATAAATAAAATTGGAGTGTCTGTTTGTAATATTACACGGTACATATGCCAAAATTTCATTTTTTACAATTTTTGTCTGTCTGTCTGTCTGTTTGTTCCGGGTAATCTCTAGAACGGCTGGACCGATTTCGACGGGACTTTCACTGGCAGATAGCTGATGACATAAGGAGTAACTTAGGCTACTTTTTTTAGACTAGCTTCGCCCCGCGGCGTTGTCGTCGGTTATAACAACAAACGCGGGTAACACCGCGGGTCTCAGCTAGTTATTATATACAATTTAAAATAAATACATGCAGGGTGATCATGAAACGTGATACACAGCTGTATCTAATCGTTATCACTTGTGACTAATGAATGATATAATATAGTACAGGAGCTATGAGATTATAACACGACCAGAAGGCCGATTCTCGTAATACAAGTTCGGTCACAATTCACAACTCTGGACCTCACAACTGTCGTAAATGGTATTCTCGTAGTGAAGTATAACGCTGACTGATTATATCGTAGTAGATTTTGCCCGCGTCTCTACCCTCGTGGATGTCGGTTAGCGCGGTAAAAAGTAGCTTTACTATGTATAATATCTTTAAGGGATAGTCCATTCATCACTTGAAATTCGCAAGGGGTTCTGAAAAACTCACGAAATATATTATGAGATATCACGAGTATTTATGTTAGTATAGTAATAAATTTTAGTATCATCATCATCATCAACAGCCTTTAATAGTCCACTGCTGGACATAGGCCTCTCCTTAGAAAGGAGGTTTTGGCCTACTATACCACGCTGGCCAGACGGGTTGGTATAGGGTTTGTGTCATGTTTTCCTTCTTTCTGCAGTGCTGTTGTCCTGCGTAGTTTGCTGCCTTAGTCGCCTCTTACGACACCCACGGGATGAATAGGGGTGTGACAATCTGTATTCTTAATCCGTCACCACACGGATCGGAAATTTTAGTATGCAATAGTTGAACGAACGATTTCATTTTTCATTCATATCATTTCATTCGTTTCATTTCGATGTGCAAACATATGTTTATTTTTACACTTTCCTTTATTATTTTATACCAGTCAAAAAAATAATTCAAAAATTTAGTAGTGGTTAGTGAACCTGACTGCTAAGCCGGAGGTCGTGGGTTCGATTTCCACCCAGGGCAAATATTATGTGATGAGCACGGTCATTTGTTGTGTCTGGGTGTAATTTATCTATAGCATGTATGTATTTAAAAATATATATAAGTATGTTTATCAGCAGTCTGGTTACCATGGTACAGGCTCTGCCTAGTTTGGAATCAGTTGGCTGTGTGTGTCATGTGTGAGCTGTGAGGTGAGGTATATATATTTATTTAAATTGTATTTCAATGATTTCAATCGAGCTCTTAAACTAGACCTCAGTTAGAGGAATAACATAACGTCATATCTATACTAATATTATAAAGCTGAAGAGTTTGTTTGTTTGTTTGAACGCGCTAATCTCAGGAACTACTGGTCCGATTTTAAAAATTCTTTCAGTGTTAGATAGCCCATTTATCGAGGAAGGCTATAGGCTATATATCATCACGCTAAGACCAATAAGAGCGGAGCACCAATGAAGAATGTTTCAAAAACGGAGAAAATTTATTACTATTGAGAGACGCAGACGAAGTTGCGCGGGTCAGCTAGTTTAATCATATAAACTTTATAAATATTCTTAATAGTAGGTACTTCTTTCTTCTTCTATTCTTATTAAACAATGTAATATTAACTTTTGTCCAGGCTCAGCAGGCAGGCAATAACAAACATCTCACGACGACAGTCTGACCCAAACTAGGCAGAGCCTGTACTACGGTATAACCATACATATGTATATATCTAAATACATACATAGTATAGATAAATTACACCCAGACACAACAAATAATCGTACATATACTATAAAGAGAAACGAAAGTGTATTACAAGCTAACAATTTTGCTGAGTTTAGTCCCGTTTACGTAATCGGGAACAAACCTATAGCCGCTAAGAATTTATAACAACATTATTTCGGACATCTGCCACACAACGCCATCTAGTTTCAACCTAAGCAGATCTTGTACTATGAAAACTAGATTGAATGTAAAGATTGAATGCAATGTAAAGTTCAGTATAGTGCCTGGCAATATTCTATGAGCAATGTGTATTTTGAGGATATTTTCCTATTTTTAGTCCGTTTGGTGACGGATTAAGAATACAGAGTGTCACCGCCCCTACTTATGCCATGAGCCGACTAAGAGAGCAAACTACGGAAGACAACAACACTGCAAAGAGAAGGAAAATTTGTCACAAACCTTAAACCTTTACCAACCCGTCTGGCCAGTGTGGTATTGTGGTAAAACCTTCTTTCTAAGAAGAGGCCTATGGCAAGCCAGTGGACTTTTACAAGGTAACTGATGATGGCTTTTAAAAGAAGAGAAATACAGGGAGTATTTCTTTTAATTATCTTTTTCCTTTTTTTTTACATTGATCGAGTAAAATTAGATGAGATAAAGGAAATAGATAAATCAAGCCAAGGAAAACGAGATTGGATGACGGAGCTTAGATATAGCAGTCTGAAGAGGATGGGAGAGGCCGTATGTTCGTCCTGTGATTATAGGACGGACAGAGGTAACATCAATACCTTTTAGGCAGCTTTTATCTTTTCTAATAACCATTGAAGTTAACTCAGTACAGCGCAATGAACGTACGCCTTTCTTTTTTATATGATATACTAGCTGACCCGGCAAACGTTGTTTTGCCATATACATTATTTAAAGAAATTGACAAAAATAAATAAATAGATGTTGGCCGATTCTCAGACCTACCCGATATGCACACAAAATTACACGAAAATCGGTCGAGCCGTTTCGGAGGAGTTCAACCACACACACCGTGACACGATATTTTATATATTAATAATTTTATATAATAATTAATTATATATATTACATAATTATATATATTAATTATTATATATTACAGATATTATTAGAGATATTATTTTATATATTACAGATAGATCAATTTTGGTCAATTGTCAGTGTGGTGACGGATTACGAATATGGAGTGTCACCACCCCTATTCATCCCATGTAAACTACGTAGGACAACAGCACTGTATACCAACCTGTCTGGAAAGCGTGTTATAATAGGCCTTCCTAAGGAGAGGTCTATGTTGATATTAGATCAATTGATGGAAAGTGACTACCTTCACCCATAGACAGCTGCAACTCTGCAGTCGCAAGTGCGTTGAAAGCTCTTTTCTTAAAGGTTTGTAAGTGGTATCCGCAATGTACCCACAGCAATTCTTATTACCAGGCATAGAAGTTTACAAGATAACTTACAAGTAGTGGTTGGTGTTCTTGGGCGCGACAGCCGGTCCACCGACTGCTGCAGATCTTCAGCGAGGCAGGAGCGTTTTGTTCTCGCATCATCTGCATCATTCTGAGTATACGATCGCTTTCGAGCGGGACGAGTCACTGAGGCTGGAAAGCACAAGTACAGTAGGTGTTTAAAGTAAAACCAACCAAATGTGAGTGTACCTCGTACACGAAGGGTCCTATACCATCGTAAAAGAATTAAAAAAAAGAAAATAACGCTTTTCAATGGAAAAGTGAAAACCTTTATTTAGAAATTTATCTTGTATTTACTAGACTAGACTTTAATAATGTACATTGGCACAATGTGGATGCAAAATAAAAATTTAACTCACTTATTTGTGACGATCAAAATTTTAAGTTTTAATCACAAAAGTGTTTATTTCATGGAATTTAATTACATAAGTAAACTTCACTATTCGTCTAGTTATTTCATAAGTCAACTTTGCGTTTCATCTGGTTCTTGTCAAATTGTCTTTTCATCAAATTAAATTTTTAGCCAAATTCCCTTTTCGTCGAGTATTTCGTTTAATAAGCACGACACGCAAAAAATATCTATTAACAGCTGTACCAGGTTTTGGTCTAAACGAAATTTGACGGAAAAGAGAATTTGACAAAAAATGTAATTTGATGAAAAGACAATTTGACAAGAACTAGACGAAAAGCAAAGTTGACTGAAAAGAGACTTTGACAGAGCAAGAACTAGACGAAAAGCAGGGTTAACTTATGAAATAACTAGACAAGCGAAATTGACTTATGTAATTAAACTTATTTCAACATGGCGGTATTGTAGGCCAAAACCTACTTTCTAAGGAGAGACCTATGTCCAGAAGTGGACTATTACAGGCTGTTAATGTGATTTGATGATGTCATCATGGTGATTTAGAAAGTACTGATTAAAGAGTATGTTATTACTTCTAATGATACTTACAAGTCTCATCAAAAACAAAGCTTTTATTAGATCCTTTAAGATTGGATTTAATAATCTTCCGTTTCTCGTATGCTACGCTGGTAGGATTATCTATCGGACTACAAAACATCACCCTGGTCATCCTGTGACCTGGGTCAACTGACAACCGTTTCTCAATCGACCGAGTAACATTCAACATGGGCTTCTTCTGAGAACTCTTTGATACATGGTAAGGAGTGCAGCCTGCAGCAGGCATTATATCAGATTCACGTTTACCAGGTGTTAGTGGCAATTCAACTTCTGGAGCTTCTTTAGTAAAAGTGCCTTCACGTTTTAATGGGGTCAGAGGTGGTAGGACTTCCTTTGGCCTCTCTTCTGGGCTTTTATTACCATGAGTTTCATCCATACTGCTTTCAATTAACAAGGGTGTAGTATTAACTATGTGTTCTGTGCTCTCATCACTAGTTATACTTACTCGGGATATGCTGGAGTTGTCGGAACTGATCAGTGATGACTTTGAGTTTTGATGATTGTCCTTCATGTCTTCTTTGTCAAAAGTTACATTCAGTTTATCGAGTGAAGGTACTTCAGACAATCTATGGGAAGTCCGTTTGGTTCCCGTTTCTAATTTAGATTCTTTTTCAAACGTTGTGTCAAGTTTCTTGGCAGGTGAAATTATTATATCTATTGTTTGTCTTCTCAAAGACATTCTTTTAGTAGCAGGACTTGCTAAAACACTCTTGTCTTTTTCGAAGATATCCTTCGACAAATTTTGTATGGATGTACTACTTTTGTTAAGTGATACATTAGTTCTACTGGACTTTCTCTTCTTCTGACTCTTCTGTAATGTATCCGTAGTTCTAGATGTATCTATTTCAAATGTCTCATTGCTTTTGTCATTTTTATCAGAAGCTGTTATGCTTATATTCCCCTTGAAGTTTCCACCAGAAACATTAACGCATTCAGAATCTTTATCAAATGTTATATTTATTTTCTGATCTTTTTCATATGTTGTATCCATAACTTTGTCTTCTTTATCAAATGTTGTATCTTTTATACTGGATTTCCTGATTCTTGAAATTTTATTAGAATCGTTTGGATCCATATCTTTTTCTGTATTTGTTTTACTATTGTTTGCATCAATCTTATTTCTAGGTGACGTACCTTCTGAGATATTATCCTTCTCAATTGAAGTGTTAAGAATTTTTACGTTATCAGAAGGCTCTTCTGTTTTCTCCTTTAGTTTTCTTTTTTGTTTCTTTTTCTTGCCTTTAACTTTCTTTTTCTTATGTCTTAACGTTTTCCCAACATTGAGACAATTCAAATCATTTTCTGTATCTATGTCAAGACCTGCTCCGCTCCATTCTACAGTCTTACCGTTAGCATTTGTTGAAACTTCTTTATTATTTATTACTTCCATGGCATCTATATCTTTTTCATATGTAACATTAATTACTTGGTCAGATGTGTTATGAATACTATCGCTGATGTGCGATTTTGTTTTTCTTAATTTTTTTGTAGATATATCAGAATTATTTAAATGTTGCCTTTTCTTTTCAGTACTTCGAGGAGTATCAGGTTTAATCATTTCATTTGAAGATGTGTTTACATAAGACTTTGTTCCGTTAACTTTGCTAGTCAGGTCAGAAACTATCCAATTAGAATCCGTAGCGCTATCTAAGCTAGTCTTCGTCACAGATACATCACTTTTATCAAAGGTAGAGTTTTTTACACTAGACCTTCTCGATCTTAGGTCTCTGTTAGAGATGTTAGAAAGATCCAAGTTATTATCCATATATTTTCCATTTGGAGGTGTTGTAGAACCTGTTTCCTTGATGATGTTTCTTCTTCTTGATCTCTTAGGTTCTTGATATGCTGTTGACATTATATAATACTATTTAATACGTATAACATATCTGTGTATATATACGTAAAATAAACATATAATACATGACTAAGGTACTAAGCGACAGCCTAAGAAATCAGGGAATTAAATGAAATAAAAAATGTATTTTGCTGTTTCTTTGTTCTGTCAATTCTGATCACTTTGTTTTCTTAATTATATATTTCATGTAATTATTTTAAGTTGTTGAGCTAGCTAGGTTAACAGCTTGAACTACACAGATACAAATCACAATAATCAAGAAACTTGCAAATTAATATAATTTTTCTATAATAAAGTAGATAAAAATATATATTCTTCTAACATCTGTAAACTAATTGAAAACGCTAATAAAACCTAATTTAAATAAATTTAAATCATAATTTTATTTTCTTAAATGACCGTGTGGTGACGGATTAAGAATACGGAATGACACCACCCCTATTCATCCCGTGGGTGTCGTAAGAGTAGACTAAGGGAGCAAACTATGCAGGACAACAGCACTGTAGAGAGAAGGAAAACTTGAAACAAACCCTACACCCACCCATCTGGGCATAGTAGGTCAAAACCTCCCTTGTAAGGAGAGACCTATGTCCAGCAGTGGAATATTAAAGGCTGTTGATGAAATGATAAATAGATATAATTGATATTTATTTCTGTAAGATGCAGATATTTTTATAATGGCAGCAGTTGTTACAAATAATTCCTTTAATTAAATTAATCTTACTATTTTGTAATTATTTAGAAAGCTATGTAGCCAAGTTGATATTGTATACTTTTTAATTTATCATAGAAAAATTTTAATGGTTGTGCTAATAAATAAATAAATTATATGGGAGTCATACATTTTTTAAATGATATTGAGTAAAGCTCAGTGGAATATCCTTGCAAATAGGACTAAGGATTGTCTCTCGATGATCAAGTTTTACTTACAAAAGAAACTGGAATGGTGATAGTGATTACAAAGTGATCACAAGTCTGTAATGCCTAGTTTACATGCGTGCCGAGGCTTGGCAAACGTCCATAAGCTCCAAGTTTTTACAAACCCTTGGATGCCATTTACACGCTTGCAAGTGTGCTATTGTGTTCCAAACACGCAAACATATCAGACATGGACATATTTTTATTCAAAATATAAACGGCGGCAGTGAACTAAAAAAATATATTCTCTAGCCTTACTGCTCAATCATGTGGACACTTGTCGAGGTTCGCCATGCGTGTAAACTGGCCTATAAGAGTTCTGTTTAAATTCCTAGATGTCTCTTAATGGTAATCTTTGATATTGCTCTTAAAAATTAGCAATAAAGGTCTTTTTATAAATGATTAATTTACTTATCTACTCATAATTGATGGCTGGCTGTTTAGTATGAATAATGCTATTGAAGTGGGAACTTAGCGTTATTGAGAAATATTTATTTATAAAGCTTCTGAAATGAGTGAACGCAACCTGACAGTGTATAGTTAAGGTACTTACAAAACTGTCTAGGTCTTACATATTTTGGAGTAGGTATAAATATTTTTTTATAGGTCTCATTTATTTCTGTAGAACATTTAAGCAAAAACGATCGCTCTGGTTAGATCGGACTGAGAACCGTCAGTGCTATATTCTAAAAGGCCATTTTTAAAACTATGATAAATAAAACCTTAAAAGTATACAACTTACTTTTGCCGGATCGAGTAGCCATGTTTTAAAAAAATAAATAAGTAATAAACATGAATACGAAATGTTAAAAGCACAGCTCTGTTTACATTTATTTTTCGTTGACGGCCGTTTTTAACGTTTGTAAAATTTCAAACTTGCCAAACAAACAACTTTGGCAATGTTGCCATGTAAAAAAGTAGATGTACGGTTTTGATTGCATTGTAAAAATCTGAATTGCAATTTTAATGATTTGACTTAGTATGTCAAAATTCTGATTTGCTATGCAAATTATGCTATGAAATGGCGTAGGTAGGTTAAAGGTTACAAGAAAATAATACAAACCAAAAAGGTTGGCTTGCTACTGGCAAGTCTTATGTATACTAGAGAGTACACAATGTCAATAATGGCATGTCTCCATTTCTTAAGTTTTATGATAACAGTTACCAAAAAGTTTAGAATTAACAGCCTTTAGACTCTCCGACCCATAGGTGATAAAAACTTTATAATCAGTGTCATTTTAGCAAGGCGAACTTAAAATCCTTAACAGGTGTGATGATAAAGAGGGTACATCTAGGCTGGCATTCTAGCAATCTAGCAATCTGCAATCTAGCATTAGCATTGAAGGCCTACAATGCCTTAAAAGAAAACACATAATTTCACTAATGTAAGGCTTCTCATTAAAAACGCCTGCATAAATAATAAGTTCCTAATAATAAGTTAATTTATCCTTAACTTGGCAATTATTGCACATATTATTAAAATTGTAAAATATACTGTTATAGAAGGAACGGACCGAATTTACGACGATTGATGACGACGACGAAACGATTTAAATAAAATAAAAAAAACACAAAATTACAATAGAATTAATTTGAGTGCATCTCGTTTCTCTCGTGAAATTTTACATGTTACTTTTTTATCATCCCAAAAAATCTATGGGCACAACCAAAATTATCCTCTAAGTAATAATAATCTGATACAATAATATTGCTTTAATATATATTTGTTAACTTTTATAATGTGGAACCACTTTTATATGTAGACAAGGCAATAATATAACCTCTGTGTACCCTCTGTGCACCTACCTTACAAGATTTCTACATCACCTAAAGGGTGACTGGAAGAGAATGCCCTGGGCATTAAGTCCGCCGATCTACAAAAGTGCATAAAGATAAATAAATAAAATAAATAAAGAATATAACAACTTAAAGCAGTTAGAAAGGGTTTTATTGTAGTTAAAATACAGTAATGTAATATTTAAAGAATACGTAATGTATGTATGCAAGGAAAAAACTGTAAGTTGAGTAACTTCTAAACAGTCAAATGTAACAATAGTAACGACAGCCATAGATAAGTTGTAGGAAGATATGTAGTCTCTTCTCAATATTATATTGGTCAGGCACACTTTAGGGAAAATTGTAAAATGGTAAGGGAAGGATGTCAAATTGAACATTTTACTCCTTAAGTATTTTAAAAATTATTAGTCATCAAATCTTTTAATAAATCTGTGAGTATCCAGATCTTACAAGATTATATGTATATGTTATTAAAATTAGACGATTCTACGTATTAAATAAATAAATAACTTTTACCTAAAACCTTTTATTCATGTTTATATCTTTGTAAAATCTTCTTGTGTCAGTTATTTGAGTATTTGTTTCTTGTAACACTTGTGGTTTAACGTCAAAATAATAACGAACATACATAAGCAACGCTAGGCAGGTACTTATCCGTTTTTGCGGCATTTTGTTAATTATTAAGTTCAAGTAAGACACAATGGCACACGTCATGGTTTATTTATACAGAGTAGATGCAAATAATCTGTACATCAAGCTAAAGTTATAAAAAATAGTAGGTGCAGTAGGCGTTATAAAACGTTAAGAAGACATCGTGAATGAGTCAATCTGTTATTATACACAATGGAGAGACAGTGTTACATATTTGTATTATTATCGCTATTCGTATGTGGAGGTAGCGGTGACCGGGGTGAGTATATCGGTTGTTACAAGTTGACTATGGAAAATGTGTTAAATACTCACACGGGACAATCTGTAGATGTATGCCTGTCGGCATGCGAGCAACTCTTCTACAAGTATGCTATAATAGGTAATGAGACTTGTTTATGTGGAAATGCGCCTGGACAATTTAAGCTGGACCCTAAAACTTGCGCCACTCCATGCCCTAAGAACGACACTCAATTATGCGGCGGCGAAGGTGCGGCCAGCGTGTATGACACCGAGGTGTACGTCCCTGGCCCTCCGGCCTCTATAACAGTTGCTAATATTACTGAAACCACTATGAGGGTCCGCTGGACTGCCCCTGAAGCTTACTCGTACATAACTGGTTATGTAATAAGAGCTATAGTACTGGAAACTTATTCTGATATTATACTGATGCCACTTGAATGGAAAGTATCAAACATTACATTTTATACTGATCTGCTGAACCTACAACCGGGTTCTAAGTATCAGATAGGAGTGGCTGCAGTCAATGATGTGTTTAAGGGTCAAAATAAGACTGCTGAAGTTGAAACTGTTATTGGAACACCAGATCCGAGTCCTCCTGACATACATATAAGAGAAAGAAAGGGAGACAGGATGGTTGTCTCTATTCCTGAAGCTAAAAATGTTAACGGTCCCGTTTCCATGTATAGGATTGTGGTTTCTATTGAGTTATACCAACAAGGGTATCTCGTTGCTAATCTTGGGAACTACTCCTATGCCATTGATCAGGGCCATCCTTATTACATTACTGCAGAATTAGACCCTGATGATATTAAGAATGATTTTATAATTGGAGACAGGAGGGTTTATAATGGTTTTTACAATGCTCCCTTGCAATTAACTAATGATATAGACATTTCTTTGGGAGTAGTTAGTGAGAAGAATCATGTTAAAAAAATCAGATATGCTGACTCAACAAAAAAAATTATTTTAAACATTAATGAACCTGAAGAAACTTCCCCTTTAATGATAGCTCTTGGAGCTGCCATCGCTATTAGCATAGTACTACTGTTAATCGGTATTGGCCTTATTATCATTCTCAGGAAGAGAATTCACCTTGCAAGGGTACAGAGGGGGTCTCAGTCTATGCCATTGAGTTTAAGCGAACCTTGTATGGAAATTGAGAACTGCGGCTTCATGCAGGAGGAACAGGAAAGGGTAGATTATTACAGCAATTTAAAGAGAAAATTATGGAACATTCCGAGAAACCTTATTGACATTGATATATCATGTGTTGTTGGTGTAGGCAGCTATGGCAAGGTCACTAAAGGGCGCGTGCAACAGCATGGAGCACAGACTCCTGGATTAGTCCAGGTTGTGACTGATAGAGAACTGGAAAGATCAGAAAAGAAGCTAATGCTGCAGGAACTAGATCTCCTCATCAAGTCTAGTGAACATGAACATGTAATCTCTCTTATTGGATTCTGTGAAACAAATACAACATTATTTGTTGTTCTAGAAGATTATAAACAGGTTTTAAAAGAATTACTGCTTCAGAGCCGGCATAGAGATTTGCAGAATAATAAATTCTGCCTTTTACCAGAGAACAGAGTCTTTCAGTATTTTGTTGACATAGCTAAAGGTATGGACTACTTGCATAGTAAAAAGATCTTACATAAACGACTCAGTTGCCGTAACATCGTAATAGGAGATAACGGCGTCGCTAAAGTCTCCGGCTTTGGTTTATCTCATATGCGACCTTTGCACGAGACCCCTGATTACACGCGGTGGACCTCTCATGAAATGCTGCGCCACACGAGATTCAATCCTAAAGCCGACGTCTGGTCTTTTGGCATTCTAGTATGGGAGGTGTTAACGATGGGAGCTACCCCATATTTTCATAGTTCTAACAAAGATGTTGCAGCTCGGATATTACGAGGTATGCGGCCATCCCAGCCGTCGTATGTCGGCGACGAACTCTTCCAGCTCTGCCTACAGTGCTGGCAGGTAGATCCGGATGAGAGACCCACGTTTTCTTCCCTTGTTGAAGAACTAATACCCTTTGCCGAAGCTACCGGCTGCAGAAGTCTAAGCTTTACTCATTACAATGGTTTTGATTATGAACCGCATGTACCGCAATATGAAATCGTCTCATAGTTTTAGGGAACTAACCAAAATATTAATATAACCTATTTTAATTTTAATTTTAAGTAGGTATATCCAAAGAGTTATATTTGATACTCGGATGTGTAGACTATAATGGTAGCTCAGCAGTTTGCTATGAATATAGTAAGCTATAAAATAACCCTATAAATTCGATATTACATAATTAAAAGTCTTTGATTGTCTTCTATAGTTCTTGAATAAAACGTAAAGTAGTTTAAGTTTATGATATGTACAGTTATGCTAAAGTGTAGTACGCTTAGCGGCCGTAGTCACGCGGAACTGCGCGCACGCGTTAGGCGGCACTGATGCCGATAATATGCGTTAAATATCCACGACATACGAACGGTTTGTATGTTAAAAGCTTGCAAGATTATAGAATATATTTAAAACAAAATGGCACTTTCTATTAAGTTGTAGTATTTGACTTTTAATTATCGTTAATAGCGTAAATTAATTTTAACCCATCAATACTTATGTCAAACGATACGGTACCTACAGTTTGAATAACCAGCCACAGATTATATGTTTCATTTTATAATTAAGTAATTGTAACATATTCCTAATGCTGATATTACTTATAGAAGCTGAAAAATGGTTTCCTTTACTTATTTGAGTATAGTTAAGCGTGAATAGCATTTATTACATTCATTTATAAGCAAAACATGACTAACTTTTAACAACATGACTTGAATACTTGACTAATAAAATTAAGATTAGGTATAATAACTCATTAAAATTATATCTTAAATATAAGGTCATAGTTCCAGTTTCCAGTACGTGATACGTTTTATATAAGAGACCGAAAACTGCAAACAATTCCTCTATTGACAACCACAGTAAGGTACTTCTATTGCCTATAATCTAATAGCAACTGCCTTCACACTAAACAATAATTAACACTAATGTTGGGGCTTCAACGTAGTAAATAAAATGCTCCCAAGATTTGTACAGGGCTTTAATGTCCAAGATAAATTGGGTTTTTTACAATTTTGTGTATCGCAATGCTCGCTCGTCGAATGTCCGAAAGAAAAGCAAAGTTGTGAGGTAGTTACAATGCATAGTGATGCGATACGAATGATAAAAATATCATAGACAAACTATCGGCGTATACGGCGTTAACAACTAGTAACCTTAATTAAGTATGTAGTCGACTCTGTAGGTAATGTTAGCTAACAAACGTTACCCATTCTAATTTATTTTTTTATACATTAGTTATAAGATGTAGAATGTACTTCAGAAGACTTCTAAACATTAAGATACTTTACGACTATAAGTTTTACTGTACTATCCCTATAGTGCCTGTAGCTTGCTCTATTTAATATTATGTACTGTAATCTGTGCTAAAGCGTTCGGTCTCAATTATGAAGAATAGAAGTAAGGAGAACCATGGCGCTACAGTATTATTAGACACGCATAGATAAATTAACAAGAAAAAGCAAAACGTATCGAAAAAAATATACTAAATCACAGCTTTTTATACTATATAAAATGCATTAATAATTTTATTATTAACTAAGGTATTTACTCCGTCTATAACTTCCCAAGTTTATGACATAACCTTTGCCTACACTAGCGTCATTCTGGTCGAACATTCGAATAATGAATTAATGAACTATTACTAAGTACCTACTGTTTTTTCTGTCACTTTCGTTTTGCCGCCCATACATGCCTCTTAGCTCTACTACCCAGTCTTAATCTCATCACATTAAAAAAAAACGAGGCCGTACGCACAAATGAAATGAAAACATTTAGATTTAACAAAACATTTTTACATTTTATATAACTTGATTCATACACATACACATACGCTTGCTAAACCACGATTGTATAGAAACTCAATTTAAGCTAGTATGGATAATCTCATATGCAATCTGAAGTCCTAGCGCTGTATAAGTTCCATAAACTGTAGGTATTATTTATATCTTTAGTGTTAATATAATTAATTATATGGATTACTACAATATTCGTGACTTACAGACAAAGGCACTGTATACTTATAAATCTCTAACAGATTTTGAGTTTAATATTTTGTATATTTTGATATTATAAATTATTTTCGAGACACGTTACTTCGAGTGCAAAGGATGTTTTTGTTCGATTTTGTTTTAATTTTGTTTGAAAAGACGGCAATAAAAATATTTTTTTAAGAGAATGTTTCTTTGTGGTTTGATATATATGTATGTACTTGATTGTTATTATCAAGTTCAGTTTCAAAAGAACCAATTCCCAAAAATGACAGTATCGTATTGTTAAGAATGCATTTTGAAAGACATACATTTTATTTGAGTTAGATGTGTGTATGTTTAGTTTTTAGTAATTTGTTTAATAACTGTATGATCTGTAAAAATTCCGTCCATTCGTATTTTTGTACGAATCTCATTTTATTATTTATATTTAATCATGTTTTCATTATTAAAATGATAACCTTGTAGTGAAATGTTTTATTTTTTTCGTTTTCCAAAACAATTGCAAAACAAGCAATCAGTAGATAAACATGGTATCGGCTTGTTGGGGGTGAAGGTCACGACTTGGCAAATAATAACAATAATAATGTGTGCTTTATACATGGCAGTAACCTGACTGCTGATAAACATACTTGTATATTTCTAAATAATACATATTATGGATAAATTACATCCACACACAGAATGAATGATCGTGCTCATCACACGTCATTTGTCCTGGCTGGGACTCGACCCCACGGCCTTTGGCATAGCAGCAGTCAGAGTCACTAACTACTACACTAGACCAACAGGCCATTAAAAAAATGAACAGACTGTCGTTTGTTGGGGCCGAACAATGGTTTCTGTTAGACAATAGTTACTGCTCTGGACTTGGAGGACCTAATACATGGCGAAATCGTTCGTTCTCTTCTCTGCTTATATATATATGTACGAGTATGGCGATGTCCGTGTGGCGACGGATTAAGAATACGGTGTCACCACCCCTATTCATCCCGTGGGTGTCGTAACAGCCGACTAAGGGAAAAAACTACGCGGAACAACAGCATTGCAGAGAGAAGGAAAACTTGACACAAACCCTGTACCAACTCGTCTGGCCAGCGTGGTATAGTAGGCCAAAACTTTTCTAAGGAGAGGCTTATGTCCAGAAGGAGACTGTTAAAGGCTGTTGATGATATGTACGAGTACTCTACTGTAATTACATATGTAAACATTGGCAGTATGGTTTACATATATATCAAGATCGTGTCGATAACCAGCTATGTAGGTACATTCATACATACCTACCCACACGTCAGTCTCGTCTCTATATCCGAAGGGGTAGACAGAGTCGTATTAAACGTTCAGATTTAAGCCCAACTTACTTATGGGTAAGTCTATTAATTTTTTTATTTGAAGGAAAACCATCAGCTCTAACATTGAGATAGTGACAATAATATAAAACATTTAGCCAATTAAAGGTCTTTACAGATAAGCACTATTTTACATAATTTCGTGCGGCCAATGTATGTATCACATTAATTACACAGATGCTATCATTCAATTACAAGAAAGCGAGAAAGAAATCTTGGCTTAGCACCCGACGTACTGTAGTTATTTTAGTGTTGTGTAGTGTTATTATCGTTTATCAGGCACATATTCAAATAAACATACTTAAATATGTTTAAATACAAACTTATATATTATTGATAATTTACACTCAGATAAATGATCGCGCTCATCATATTATTGTTTGGGTGGTGGGAATCGACCTCACTACCTCTGGCTAGACATTAAAGATCGCTAACCGCTAGATCAGCAAGCCCCATCCACTATTTATCACTGATTAGGATTTTAATTTTGATGACACAATAGATAGCTAAGTCGAAGCGTTTACGAAAACTATATTTCTGTTAATGTGTAATATACTTCCAGTTTTATCTTTCTAAAGTCATATTGTTTCTTCATCCTTACATCAACAGCCTTTAATAGTCCATTGCTGCACATAGGCCTCTCCTTAGAAAGGAGGTTTTGGCCTACTATACCACGCTGGCCAGACGTGTTGGTGTAGGGTTTGTGTTAAGTTTTCCTTCTCTTTGCAGTGCTGTTGTCCTGCGTTATTAGCTTTTTTAGTCGCCTCTCACGTCACCCACGAGAGAAGTCATCCGTATTGTTTACACAGATATAGGTATGTATGTATAAGATAAAATATATAAAACACACTCAATTTGTCGGCACAGAGTGACCGAGAAAATTCGACTATCAAGTTAATACATACAAGTTATTAAAATCCCTGATCGTGGCCATGCCAGTGTCATTGACACCTAATATTTTGCTTAGGTATCTTTTAGAATTTACTTTCATTTAATACCGTATTTCTCAAAATAATCTCTTTTACACAGTTGATTTATGGACATTACACAACTTGTTATGTAAGACTAAACGTAAGAATACGAGTAAAAATGTATGAATTATATTAATATACATAAGAATAAAAATGTATGAATTATATTGAATATGTAATTATAATTCATACATTATTTATTCGTACGTTGACTTATACATAAGTATTTGAAATATGCCGTCGGTAAATGCCGACTGGGGCGTGGAGAGTTCTGCATTTTCAAAATTACTCGCATTCGATTTAGAGATGTAAGTGTGACAAGACCGAGTTGCAGCTGTCCATGGGCGGCTGGAGTCACTTATCATTACCTGATGACTGTTTTAAATCATCATAACAAGGGATCAATTATTCTGTATAATTGATATAAATGAGAGAATACGAAATTACCTGTGGTTCCGTTCTATTAGTGGGACTACGGGGAAAATATACACATGGGCTCACCAGTGGGACTACGGGTAAACACTCGTCATTAATATCAAGGGATCATTCCTCCACGTTTTTATGAATAACGAAATAACTTACGATAGGCGGTAGATTATCGCCGATGTTTAATATGTGGTAATGTTGAGACGTGAGAGGACATTTAGAAGTACATGCAGAGCAGAAGACTACTAACTCTTTGATTGCATGGATGGCGTAGTGGTTTA